TGCTTGCTATCCCAGTACTCCGGAGGTGGAAGCAGGAGGATGAGGTGTTCAAGGCCAGGGTCAGCTTCGTAGTTGGAGACCAGACTATCAAAAAACTAAACGAGAAAGGAGGCATGGTGTGAAGCTTCCCGCAAACGCACAGGACAGCTAGTGAGGGATGATAATTTTATTCAGTTACACGCCAGTTTCCCATCGAAACTGGATAAGCAGATGGCGAAAGCTTGGAGCGGGCAAAGAGGATACTGGAAATCCATAGTGAATATGTTTGGGGCCACGCGGCCGAACTGGAGCACCAGGTAGTCCGCTGATGAGAAAACCAGGGAAGAGGATTTAGTTAAACTCCGTCCTATGGCCCCAGGCAGCTGCACACTGACCAAGCTAGGAAACGCAAGGAGCCTAGAGACTACATCTCCCAATAGACCTTGCGACAGCGAGGCTCCGCCCTCTTTAGGAACCGGCCCAATGACGTAAGAGGGAGTAGTTGTGCTTAATGCCCCCTTTCCGCCCCCAAGCCCAGGTCTTCGGGTTGCTAGAGCTCACGTAGATCGGGGTGCACAATCTGGAAGTTCTTGACCGAAGCCCGAGTGACGCGACCGTGAAAATTGAGCACGTAGCCGCCGCTCTCGTCGCTCCAGGATGGGGCCTTGTTCTGCAGAAGGAGCGGCCCTTGTCTTGCGCCCTTTGGTAGACGACTCAATATCGAATCCTGATCCTTGAGATGCAATAGGGGCATCGTTTGTTAGGCTACCCGCAGCCTTCTTTAAGTCCAGATGCACGTGTTATTTGTATTTATTTACTTATTTATTTACTTGAGAACAGTGTCTCTGGATTGCCAGGTTTACCCTTTTGTGTTTTTGAAGAGGGTTTCTCTGTGTAGCCCCTGCCTGTCCTGGCATTAGTTCTGTAGACCGGGCTGGGAATGTAATTTCTTTTCTTAGAGGATGGGTTTGAGAAAGCACTTAGCACAGAGTAACAATCACTGTCACGGTTATTATTACTCTGTCCACTGCCCTCCCGAAGCAGATCCAATGTCTTGAACACGAAAATCACCATCTTTGATAATGGAGTGAGCCCTGAGCCTCTGCCTCCCAAGTGCTGGGATTGAAAGCGTGTGCCACCACCCAGCTTGTTGTTGGTATATTATATTTTCATTTTGCAGCTGGTGCTTGATGGTCACCATCTAACGTTTGTTTATGGTTATGAATGGAAACCTTAAAGATTTTTTCAGGATTGTGGAGACTTCTGTGAGGGAGAGTTCTGACTTAAACACTGTCGACAGTACTTGATTCTCCTTGGTGGACTTTAGAAAATGCATGAGAGTGTACTGAGCAGACAGAAGAAACCTCTTGCACCTTTGAGCTTTGGAATTTCTCAGCTCTTTTCCTGTGGTGATTCCATATCTCCAGACACAGGTTGAAAGTGGCCAAGCTTAAACTGGGTGGTGGTAGTGCATGGCTTTAATCCCAGGATTTGGGAGGCTGAGTCAGGAGGATCACTGAGTTTGAGGCCAGCCTGGTCTACAGAGTGAGTTCCAGATAGCCAAGGCTACAACAGAGAAACTCTGTCACAAAAAAAGAAAAAAAAATTCATTTAATTAGATGTAATATATGTGTGCTGGTATATGTGGATTATATGCCTGTGAGTGCAGTTGTCTTCAAAACCAGAAGAGGGCAGTAAGTCCCCTGGAGTTGAAGTTACAGACAGTTGTGAGCCACCTGACATGGGTCTGGGAAACAACTCCAGAAACTGTTTTGTTTTTGTTTCTGTTTTGAGACTGGGTTTCTCTGTGTAGTCTGGCTGTCCTGGAATTCACTCTGTAGACCAGGCTGGCTTCAAACTCACAAATCTACCTGCCTCTGCCTCCCAAGTGCTGTGATTAAAAACAAATTTTGAGTTGGGTGGTAGTGGAGCATGCCTTTAATCCCAGCAGTCGGGAGGCAGAGGCAGGTGGATCTCTGTGAGTTCAGGGCAGCCTGGTCTACAGAGCGAGATCCAGGACAGGCACCAAAACTACACTGAGAAACCCTGTCTCAAAAAAACAAAAAAAAAATTTTTTTTTTTTTTAAACAAGGTCTCACTCTAGCCCTGTCTATCTTGGAACTTGATATTTAGATGAGGCTAGCCTCCAACTTACATGGTCTGTCTTTCTTCTCCCTCTGGGAGAGCAATACATGCTCTGCTAACCATTGAGCCATCTCTCCAGCACCAGACCCAGAATTTTTGAGTCTCTAGTCTTTACTTCCTGAGAAGGGACTCTGGCAAAGCCATTCAATGTGACCTGCAAATCATGGTTTTCTAACCCATTCTCACCTCTTAGTATTGCTTTTCACAACCTTAAAGACTCACATTTTGTGGCTGGACTCTCATCCTCTGCTTGCGCCTGTCCATTCCTGGAAGTATCACAGTCATTTTCCGAGGTCCCCGGAACCCCAAGACATTGCTTTCCTGGCAGGATTAATTAATTATATTGAGTTAGCCTAGCTCCCTGTGCGTTCTTACCTATTGGCACCCCATTCATCCAGGCCCTTCCAGGATACTTACATAACACACGACTCCCAGCTTCTCTCTGATCCGGGTACTGTCTGGGATCCAGTAGTTCCTCTCAGGGTTCACCCCATTATCAAAGATGGTAAATTTCGTGCCCAAGATATTGGATCTGCCCCAGGAGGGCAGGGGAGAGTAACAAAAACCGAGAGATAGTGATTGCTACTCTGTGTAAGTGCTTTCTCAAACCATCCTCTATGAAAAGAAATCACAGTCCCAGCCCTCTGATTTTTGTGTCTTTCTAGCATGCTACATTGACTCTTTGGGAACCCTCTTCCATCTAGGAAGCAGGAACTCTCACACTCCAGACATCTTTCCCCACAGGAACTGAGGGGTCCCAGCCCTCTCCCTATCAAAAAGCTAAACATCTTAAATGCCAGCCTGTATTCCTGGCATCCAAAGCTTTCATGTTTTTTCTTTCCCACCTGTGGAAATACATCCTGCAGAACTACAAAACCCATCAGGCTTTAGTGCAGGTCCTGTGTTGTGCACTGAGGCCTCTTGGGAAATGAAGTCCATTGGCCTGTCTCTCCCTGGCTCCCTGACACCTGTTGTCTCATCAAATACCAGGAGCACCACACACCAAGAAGGCTTCACTTACCTAACTTTGCCCACAAAGTTGTTCCCGTTGCGAGACATATCTTTGGGATCCAGAGAGATGAGATAATTTGAGGTTTTGCATATTTTCCTTTTCCGCCCAGCCAGAAGGAAATGCTGCAGATCGGAGAAGAGACTTCAGGATTGAGTTTTGACATCTCTCTAGAGCCAGGATCCTGAACACAGTTCTGAATAGGGGAAGGGCTATTTCTGGAGGTGAAGAAGGCCACACTGGGAGGAGACTGGTCAGCAGGAGAGGGGTGTAGCTTAGCTATAGAATGGAAACAATTTGAAGGACCCAGTCTCTATCAGGATTGGGTGGGGTTTGGCCACCAAGAAGACTCAGTTGGATGGCCAGAGAAGAGACTCACTTAACTCAGGTGGGAATGAGTTTGGTGGAATGGATAAGGCTTGTTTATAGGGTCGGAAGGACCTGAGCTACTGTGTTCTAAAATGTCTGAAGTGCTGAGGTGGGTAGGACTTAGACCTGACAGGACAGACCTGAGTCCAGGGGGAAACAAAGCGTTGAAAGGGTCTCACATTGTTGCCCTGGCTGGCTTGAAACTGATTTAGAAAGGGCTGGCTTCCAACTCAGAGGTCTGCCTTCCTCTGCTTCCCAAGTGTGGGGATTAAAGGTATCTGCCGCCACCACCTGACTTTTTTTTAGTTTGCAATAGTGTCTCCAGTCAGGTCAGGAGGCTGGCCTTGAACTCCTTCTTTCTATACAAGGCTGACCTTGCTCTCCTGACCTTCTCTGCTGCCATGTCCCATATATGATTAGGTTTATAGGTTGATGCGGCCACATCTGCAGTCAAATGCTCTACCACTGAGCTATACCCCCGATGCCGCCACATCTGGCTCCAGAAATTTTAACCTTGTCCAGAAGGGAGGGGCATGCCGCTGGAATCGGGGGCTCGTCTCCCTCCTCTGTCCCCCAGCGGGAAGGCCCCCGCACCAGGGCTGGATCTCACCGCCACACCGTCCTCGGCCTCCTGGTAGAGGTAGTAGGACGGGAAGAAGCCCTTGTCCATGCCATGCTTGTTCCGGATGATGCGGCACTGCACCACGTGGTCCCGGGCCGCGGGGAGCAGCACATAGGCCTCCACGTCCTCCCCCAGCCGAGGGCCCGGGGGCCGGGCCGCGGGGCGGGTCCAGTTACAAGGATTCTGGTTGCTTGGGTCCTTATTGTCCTGCAAGACCTTGGACGGCACTGGGGCGCTGTCCGTCCCTGCAGACTCTGAGGCCTCTTTCTTCTCCAGGTCTTCATCCTAGCTCGAGTGCAGATCCACAAGTGAGGGACAGTCAAGCTGGGCCCTGATTGGCTGTGTCAACTAAGGGATGACCCCTGAGGACCCAGGGCTTCATGCCAGTCAAGCATGTCAGGTGACCCACCCAACCAAGTTGGCCCATCTGCTGGTGAGTCAAACGTGCAACCTCATTAGGTCACACAAACGGTGAGATCCTACTCTAGAACAGGTAAACATGCCAGGGAGGTGCTTGGGGCATTACTGAGTAGTATAGCAACCCTGCCTAGAATCTCCCAGTGAGGGGCTCAGGTGTGGCTCAGTGGTAAGAGCACTTGCCTAGCAAAGAATTTGACCATTTTACTATAAAATGAGCCTTGCAAGCCTCACACCTTTAATTATAGCACTCGGGAGGCTGAGGCAGGCAGATCTCTGTGAGTTCAAAGCCAGTCTGGTCTACAGACTGAATTCCAGGACAGCTAGGGCTGTTACACAGAGAAACCCTATCCTGAAAAATTAAAAAAAAAAAAAAAAAAAAGACTTTCCAAATCACCCTTTATAGTCTCTATAAGTTGGCACCTGTTCATGGGTATTCATTTTTTAAAAGAGAGAGTCTCTTTATGGAGTCCAGATTGGCCTTGAACTCAGTCTCTGGCAGCCTCCTGACTGCAGGAAATGCAAGCATGCACCGCTGGGCACAGATTTTCACACCATGGTTGTTGCTCCTTCAGCCAGTCAAATGCCCTGTGGATTGGGCTGCAGATTTTGAGTGCCACCTACCCCGAGGCCAGAGGCTGGTCTCCTTGTTTCTATATCCTTTTGTGCTGTGTTTTCTTCCTCCTCACAGGATGCCAAGTGTCCCTGAACCCTACCAGAGCTCACTGTCGAGGCCGGGGCAGGACTGGGTGCCTTGGGTTCAAAGGCAGCATCCTTGGATTCAACCTCTTCCTCTTCGCTGATCCCTAAGAGGCAGAAGCAGTTACAGGTCAGGACATCTGAGTCGCAGTTAGGTGAGATCAGTATTGTCAGCTGGACAGGACAGGAACCCCAGTTCCCAGCTGCTCTGCCAGGCTCTTCCACTGACCACACTCTGTGCACTTCCCATGCACATGGAGCCTACAGAGCCTGATCTCCCAGAGTCAATGTCTCACTGTGTGGCTCTGGCCTAGTCTGAGACAGATTTCTAGACTGGGCTTGCTCTGAACACAGAGATCCAACTGCCTTTGCCTCCAGTGTTGGAATTAAAGTCCTGTGTCACAATAGCTGGTCAAAAGTAAACAAGTTAAAAAACAACAACAACAAATAAATTGAAGGCCTGGAGAGATCGAGTAACAGTCAAAGGCACATTCTGCTCTTGTGAGAACCCGAGTTCACTTCCCAGCTCTCAAGGTTCATGGTCCACAAACACATCCAACTCCAGCTCCAGTGGGTCTGACTCCCTCTTCTGGTCTCTGTGGGAACTGCACTCACATTTACAAACACACAGATGTACATCTACAAACTAAAAAGAATTAAAATAAATAATCTGATCCAGGTGGTGGTGTCACATGTGTTAAATAACAGCACTTGGGAGGCAGAGGGAGGCAGATCTCAGTGAGTTCAGGGCCAACTTGGTCGGCATAGTGAGTTCCAGGACAGCCAAAGCTACCAAGAGAAACCCTGTCTTGAAAAACCAAAATAGGCCGGGCAGTGGTGGCACACACTTTAATCCCAACACTATGGAGGCTGAGGCAGGCAGATCTCAGCTTGTTCTACAAAGCAAGTTTCAGGACAGCTAGGGCTACACAGAGGATCCCTGTCTGGAAAAAACAAAATAAATAAAATAAAAATTAAAAAGAAGAAAGGAAATAGCAGGACTGTGGTGGCAAATGCTTTAAACCCCAGTGCTCAGGATACAGAGGCATGTGGATCTCTGTGAGTTCAAGGACAGTCTTCTATACAGAGCAAGTTCCAGGACAGGCCTCAAGCTACACAGTGAAACAGTCTCAAAAAAAAATAAAAATAAAAAAGAAAGAAAGAAAGGAAGAGAGAGAGAGAGAAAGAAAGAAAGAAAAAGCTAAAAAGAAAAAGGGAAAACAAAACAAAACAAAACCATAATAAATAATCTGGGTGTGGTACAAGAAGCCTTTAATCCAGCACACAAGAGGAAGAGGTCAGTGGATCTCTGTGAGTTCAAGGCCAGCCCAGGGATCATAGATATCGACCCCATCCCTCCAAACTCAGTTTAAACACATGAGTTTGATGTGGTGATGGTTTTACTTCTGAGTACACTGTGTGACAGTGACTAGACACCTTGACAGATGACCTGGGAGACCCGTAAGTTACAATATCCCACATAAAGCTGTTAACAAAGCAGGATGACAAACTGTCATGAACCAGGGACCAGATTTCACTCCCCTGTCCCCGAAATTACCAGGTTCTGGGGAGGCTAACCAGCCCCTGCACCGGGTTGCCAGATGTGTCTTGGGAGGCGGGGGGATGATCGGGATGTCCTCCATGGTCACTTCCTCCACATCTGAATCTGAGCTGTCTGGGAGGTAGCAAAGATGGTGGACCCCAGCGCCATCACCCTGAGTGTACACTAGAGAAAAAGGAGTGTCAGATTTGGGGTCCTTTGGTGCAAGAGGGGGAAGCTCTGTCCTGACCCCAATGTCAGAGGAAAAGCAGGCAATCCTGAACGTCTAAGGAGGCGTGCTCTAAATATCAGTGGCCTAAGATTACCTGCTCCTCTGGGTGGCAGAAGGGGGGCCCGCTGGCCACCACCATCTCTGACATAGCTCATGGAGAGCAGGGCACCGGGCGGCCTGGAGGGCAGATGCGCCTGTGGTACATTCTCCTGGAGGAAAGGACTCCCAGCACCTGGGGGAGAGGGCAGAGAGGCCCATTTAAAGAGGATCTCCTGAGTAAGGCAGGAGGATTACCTCAAACCCTCCACTACATAACAAGTTCCAGTCTGATAGCATGGGACCATGGCCCCCCAAATTCTAAACAAAAACTCGGTAGCAAACACCATGGACTCCTGCTCTACCAGCAGAACTTCTGTCTTGGGACAGTCCGAGTTCCCTCAGACTCTACTAGGTTCTGACAAACCCAGTCACTGGATTCGCTTGGGTCTGGCCCTCCAGTTACTCTAAGCTCTGCCTGCTTCTTGTCAGAGAACCGGGTAATCTCAAGGGCCCAGCTTTATTGGAATGGCTCCAAAGACACCCCCAGCCCAATCAATCCTCTGCCTGGGGATCCTCGAGAACCCACCCCTGTTCCCTCATAAAGCCCCACACTCAAGTCTCACCCCTGTCCTCTACCATAAACTCCCTATCTGGATGCAATTAGGCCCCACTGTCCCATTAGGACACTTCCTGACATCTACCAGGCCATCCCTCTGGCAGCCAGCACCAGCCACGCAGTTCCCGCCCTGGGCCTCACCAGGCTCCACCCTCCAGTGCTCACTAGGCCCCGCCCCCAGCCCCCATAAACCCCTTCATCAGACCGAATCCCCAGCCGCTGTCACACTGGAAGCGATCATCCCCGCGCCTTGGTCGCCGGTGCCTCAGGGAAGCATCAGGATTGGCCTGAACCATGAGGGGCTCCTGGCGCTTCCTGCGCTGCTTCTTCTCGAGTAGCTGTTGCTGAAGGATCAAGAGGGGGTGTGTGGGGCGTCCAGGTGCCCTTCCTCCATCAGGGTCCCAGATACCCAGTCCTTTCCGGTCAGATCCGGTCTATCTCCACCTCCTCCTCCAACAACTAGGAGTCCAGCCCTCTAGAACTGTTGTCTTTAAAAATTTCCTCAGCCTGAGCTGCCATCCGGGCTGAGGCACAAGGACTAAGCCTTCCTAGACAGGGCTGGAGAGATGGCTCAGAGGTTAAGAGCCATCTCTTTAAGGTCCTGCGTTCAATTCCCAGCAATCACATGCCACATGGAGGCTCACAGCCATCTGTAATGAGATCTGGCGCCCTCTTCTGGCCTACAGGGATATTTGTAGGCAGTTTATTGTATACATAATAAATAAATCTTTAAAAAAAAAAAAAGAAATAAAAACTAAACAAAAGTCCTAGACAATTTGGTGAGAACCTGTTTCCACATACAAAGGTGGGTATAAAGACTCACATCTGTAGTAAGTCCGGAAATAGAAGGAAGACTGTGGGAGCCAGTGTGAGGTCAGCATAGGTCACAGAGCGGCTAACTGGGGCCTGAGAGAGGGCTCAGTGGGTAAAGGTGCTTGTGCTCCCACCAGGCCTGACAACCTGGGTTTGAGCCCTGGGACCCAAATCCTCCAAGGAGAGCACCCAGCCTGCAAGCTGTCCCCACATACACGCCATGGCGTGCGTGTCCTCGACCCCTGAGTAAATGCAATTTAACAAAACAAAGCAAGTGTGGCCGCTCACAACTGTGATTCTAGCACCAGCCTGGGCTAGGCAGCAAGGTCTTGTTTCAAAAGAAAACCAAATTCCTACTTTCTCTTTTCCTAATTTGAGAACCTGAAGTTCAGAGAACAGGAACATGGGATTGGGGTCTCTGAGCATCCTGGGAAGGTGGGGAAGATGGAAGAGTGGGATTCGGGTCATACCTGTTGTTCCAATTTCTGCAGCCTCACACCCGAGAATTCATCCTCCAAGGTTCTAGAGAAATACAGGCTGGTGGCCACAGGCAGCAGGGCAGCTTTGCCTGATCCAGAGCCCCTCCCCTGACCAATTTGGGTTCTGAGCGCCAGTGATGTCATAGTAGGTGAGGGACCTGAGCTTCTAGGTCAGTTATGACTCTTTCTCCCAGCCCCCTCCCCTTAGGACCCAACCTGAGCTCCCAGGCTCTAGCTGTCTCGGGAGCCATGGACATCGGAGTCCAGATCCGCTCCCCCCACCCCCCCAGCTTCTCTTGGTTGATGGTGGTCAGCCTGAAGACAGTTTGAGCCCCAAAGCTGTGTGTATCAGGTATCTAGGTCCCCTCTCCCCCAACCCGCTGCCCATTAGGTTTCCTCACTCACTCTTTCTTCCACGGTTCATTTTCCTGAGACGGTCTGGAGGATTAGGAAGGCATAATCAGACCTAGACCCAACATCTAAATAGAAACCGCCCTCTAATTCCTGACATCTGCCTTCGATTTTCTTTTGAACCCTAACAACCCAAATCCCAATGCCCGCCTGAGACTTAGTAGCCTGTGGTGAACTTTAAGCACTATTGGGAGCACAAAAATCCAGCTCTCTACCACACAGGTAAGGCTGGTCCTGCTTCTAAGTATTGGGACTTGGAGGCTCAGGGTCACAAATCCCAACTCCCCAGCATCCACCTATCTGGAATCCCAGAGGCACCCACCCCTCCCTAGCACCAGCTTGGAGTTCTCACAGCCTTGCCCAGATGCTGGAACTCTAAACACATGCAAACACTTTCTTAGAAATGGGTGTTCCCACAGGGACTTGCCCTCTTCTTGGCCCTCTTGGCCCCTCAAGGTCCATGTCCAACAGAGTAATGCCTCCAGGCCACTGAAGCAGACTGATCCCTTGTTCTGGGGGTTCTGAATTGGAACTGCAAGCCAACATTCCTTAAAGGGACCCAAGAGTATCTACCTAGCAATATAGTTCTACATACAGAGCATTAAAGAAATTTATAAGCCTAGTGGCTCATGCCTGTAATTCCAGCACTTGGGAGGTGCAGACAAGGTGCCAGGAATCGAAACATTCCTCCTCTACAAGCATTCCTATGTCTTCCAGGTCAGCTTGGGATGCATAAAGCCATTTCTCAGGGGGAAAAAGTGGGAGAGGGAGCTGGGAGTGGGGTATTTTAATCTCAACACTTGTGAGTCAGAGGCAGGAGGATCTCTGTGATCTCGAGGCCAGCCTGGTCTACATAGAACTCCAGCTAGGGTTACATAATGAGACCCTTTTAAAAAGTAGTGATAGTATCCTATACAGTTGGTTATCACCAAAGCTCTGACTTACAGGAACCTGTGGAGCGAAAATAAATGAGAAGACTGCAATTCCCAGGAGACACAGTGGCAAAAGTTGCCCTCCCCACCCCTACCCGCATGCAGGGCTTTGACTTTCATGTGAAAACGACGGAGGAAAGGTCACGTTTAAGAATGTGAGCCTCGGGGCTGGAGAGATGGGTCAGTGGTTAAGAGCATTGCCAGCTCTGCCAGAGGTCCTGAGTTCAACTCCCAGGAACCACATGGTGGCTCACAACCATCTCTAGTGGGATCTTATGCTCTCTTCCGGCACAAAGTTGTACATGCAGATAAAGTACACATATACAAAATAAATAATAAAATCTTTAAACACACACACACACACACACACACACACACACAAAGAATATGAGCTTCCAAGAAAGCAGGAGAAATTTTCCAAAGTAAGGGGGCCGGCATGGACCAATCAGCATCCTGGGGGCAGGTCGTCCGCGGGTGGAAAAGTGGGAGTGACTTAGGAGGGAAATCATCAGAAACCCGGCAGAGGTCCTAGCGTGGGAAAACGCCCTCTGCGCTAGGAGAGGTGAGGGGCATTGGATAGCGGAGGCCAGGGGACTGGAGATCCGGGTACTTGCAGCGTTTCAGGTCCCTGTGGTCCCGTGAGAAGGGGAGTCTAGGAGGCCTAGCATCTCGGTTTGGGGAAGGATTCCCTACTTTGAGGGAGACAGGATGAAGGTCTGCGGACTGCGCTGTAGGAAAGGGAGGCTGGAGGCCTGGCATCCCGGGTTGCAGGTGACGAAACGCGTGGAGACTTCATTTTTGCAAATGGGAATGGCACTGAGGATGGCGTGCACTCGTTTGCCCAGCCGGATAAGGGGTTAGAACATCCTTAGGTCGGGTAGTAATGCGAGCCTACAAGTCGCTGGGGGAGGGGGGTGCGGAGGGGGTATAGGCAGGAGGATCAGGAATTCAAACCCAGCCTTTGCTACTTAACACTCGTCTCAAAAAGCCGGAGCAAAACGACAAAAACCCATTCTCCACCTCTCCTCGCAGAGCAGCCGCGATGCCTGCCTCCGCGCCCCGCGGGACCCCTTTCCTTCTCCTAGCTCCTCTCCTGATGCTGTCCGCTGTGCTGGCCGTGCCCCTGGACCGCGCGGCGCCCCATCAGGACGACAGCCAGGCCACTGAGAGCCCGGTGAGTAGCCCTGCCCTGCGCTCTGGCGGGTTTGCAGTGGTGCAGTTCCCGCTGTCCCCAAGGCCCTGGTGAAAACTCCAGGGACCCGGTTTAACACGCTGCGGCTTCCGGTTTACCTGCCTTCCTTTGCAGTAGTGTGTTGGTGAATCTCACAAGCAGACCCGGGACCCCGGCCATCGGTATATGGAAATCAAGACAGATCCCAAATGAACACCCGTTCACTCCCTCCCCTAAACTCCTTGATCTTTAAGATCCCCCTTAACGATGGAGAAACCAGAAGCAAAACTACATTTCCCAGTAGCACCATAGGCAGTTGGATGCTACTACCTGGCTGGGGCATTCCTGCTTCACAGAGCTCGTGAAGTTTAAATGGAGGTGTAGTTTAAATGGGAGAAGGACATGGTGGGCGGGCGCTGCTGATTTACTCATTCCTACAAATATCTATTGAACCTTGTGAAAGCTTTCCTCTTAGGAGAGAGTTGGATCTTTCAAAGTCCAGGTACCTGATTGATGGCCTAGTTCTTCTATCGCTCTCCTTAGCAGTGGTAACTGACTCTTATAACAGGACTGCCAGTAACAGAGCAGTTTCCTCCCCACTCAGGGGCCAGTTTGCTAAGAACTCTGCCCCATATTACCCCACCATCCTATGTTGACTCATGTCTGGCTTCAGTCAGACCCTCAGGAAGTAATCCAGTCTGGTAGTCAATCAGGGTCGTACCCGGCCACAAACAGGAAATGTTCTTGCTATTTTGTCAGACAGACCCCTGACAGAGCAGACAGACCCCAGACACAGCAGACAGACCCCAGACACAGCAGACAGACAGACCCCTGACACAGCAGACAGACAGACCCCAGACACAGCAGACAGACCCCTGACACAGCAGACAGACAGACCCCTGACAGAGCAGACAGACCCCAGACACAGCAGACAGACCCCAGACACGGCAGACAGACCCCAGACACAGCAGACAGACCCCAGACACAGTAGACAGACAGACCCCAGACACAGCAGACAGACAGACCCCTGACACTACAGACAGACAGACCCCTGACACAGCAGACAGACCCCAGACACAGCAGACAGACCCCAGACACAGCAGACAGACAGACCCCTGACACAACAGACAGACAGACCCCTGACACAGCAGACAGACCCCAGACACAGCAGACAGACTCCAGACACAGTAGACAGACCCCAGACACGGCAGACAGACCCCAGACACAGTAGACAGACAGACCCCTGACACAGCAGACAGACAGACCCCTAACACAGCAGACAGACCCCAGACACAGCAGACAGACCCCAGACACAGCAGACAGACAGACCCCAGACACGGCAGACAGACCCCAGACACAGCAGACAGACAG